GGATGGCTTCAAATTTGTTCCTTCTTTCTTTACATTTTCACCAGATATTTTCATTCTATTCGAACTCTTTTTTGAAAAGGACTTTCAAAAAAAAAAAATGGACATTTTAACAAAATTGAGAACTTTTGTAATTATAACTTATTTTTATCAGTATTCCATATTTATTATGTTATAGTTTTAAAATTAGTCATATATTGTATATGTATTTATAACTCATAGTTTTAATGTTCAAAATTTCATATGCTATAAAGTCCAAATTTTATATGAGAAAGTCATAAACTATGATAGGCCATAGTTAAAGCTTGTACGCTATGTCCTGGATGTTTTCATGTCTTTTCTCATACTTTTGCTTTACTCCTGTACTAATGCTTTTCTCACCAAGGCCTCTCCTTTTGACGGGGGGGGGGGGGAAAAAATAAAAAAGAAATATGATGGCTTTGCTCTTTGCGAACCAGCAACCTTTAATTAATTTTCTGCAATTCAGGATCTTCCCCTACACCAGTACCTTCTAGAACATTCGCGCCTATTGCATAACCTCCTCATATAAATGCTGCGTCATAAGTCTTTCTACATTTTTCTAGAAGCTACTCTGTTACATAACCTTTCATATAAATGCTGCGTCATAAGTTCTCCTACACAGATGCCTTCTCGCCTTCATTCGGCTAATGCCTCCGCTATGCTCTTCTTTCTTTGTTAGAACGTTATAAGTCAGTCGTATCTAATAATTCAATTACTGAATAAGTATTTGAGTAACTTCATCTGGAAAAAATCATCTGCTTTAAAATAAAATAAAGATGTGCTGTTAAAAGTGAAAAGTCCTGAGTCGTCATTTTTCTCCGTGTTGCAATCATCCCAGCTTCGTCAACCATCTGCCAAAACGTGAAATGGAATAGCCTCACCATTCCCCATAGCATATTAAAAGAAACACACACAAAAAAAAAAAAATGTTAGCCATCTTGTTAAGAAAACTGAATATTGATTTGATGATGTATCTCGCGATGAGTCTCACACGTATTATCGACTTTTATCCAGAATTATTATTAATCTCTTTACTAATTGTAAACTTTCATACTGATTACAACTTATTATAAAATTTTTGCGAAATATTTTCCGCTTAAAATTTCCTTAATGTAATTTTTTTTCTTTTTTTCCCAATTTATAGTAATTCGAACGGATATGTAGATGAGCTCTAGTTCTAGCCAAGGATGAGTAAAATGCTATAAGAAATTAAGCACCTTTTTCTCTTCTTTTGCTATGCCGTATTTTGTGAGAACTAATGTTTTATGAGACATTTATTTTAAATTATAGCGTCTGAAGAATGCATAGCAGTATTCTAGAATACTGAAAAATTAATCATTTAACAAGTAAAATATATTCGTTCATATGAAATTAATTTTTATTTTATATTGTTTCAAACATTCTGTTCCTTGTATTTATTTCAACTTTATTCTGTTTTCATTGCTAATTTTTCTAATTATCTTTTAACTGTATTTTTGGTTTTCAGCCTCCAGTGGCTAAGTGGTTAAGAATGCTAAACACTGGTAATTCAATTCGGGCTCGAATCCTGGCCACCGGATTCGCTACGGAGGTGTTTTCCATGTAAAATACAAATACGAATCAGTTTAATTTAGATATTTCTGTATAAAGGCATTCCTCTCCTTAGACAAATACCTCTTGTGATCCTGTGCAGTATTCAAACAAATAAGTCTTTACTTTCACTTGTCTTTGAAATAGTTTCATGTCTGAGCAAATAGTGTTCCTTTTTTTTTTTTTCATTGATTTGTCATTTCTTATTTTATGCTGTTTGCTTCCACTTACAGTATCACGATTTATGTCTAGATGGGATAAATTATTTACCGAAAGTTTATGAAACATTTTATTACTCGACCATGGTCCGCTGAAATGGAATTTCGTAACACTTTTATTCCATTACAAATCTGGAGCTCTCTGCTTGCACCACTTAAAATCTCTCTTCCCATTACTTGCGAAACTTTCCCGCCTTCGCAAAGGGCTCCAAGGAAACCCGAAATATGCCTCGCAATTTCGAGTCTAGCTTCGCATCCCTTGTCCGGTCTCGTCGTCGTATCACTAATGAGGTTCGTATTGACTCGCCGACGAAATGCATTACAGAACTAAAGCTCTCGCGGCGGTTTCTGGCATCGAGCGCGCGCAATAATTGCAGGCTGTGTGTAGATATCCAGCTCCAAATCAGAGCTCATTTGCATGTTTCCCAGTCCACTTTGTGGCTGGGATTGAAGAGCTGATAATTAGCTGTTAAGGAGGACTCGATATTATTTGCCAATATTTGGAGCTTGAGTGGGACGTGTATGATGAAATGTCAGATTTGCAGTGGTGTGTTAGTAGAGTGCTCTCAAATGGTTGCTTTCAAAAGGTCTTCTCTTTCCATTACTTTGGAGTATTTCAGTTATTTCTCTGTTATAATAGCATGACAAGTTCAGTCATCTAAGCCAGGTTTCTCAAGTATTCTGGAATTCTGTGTACAGAAATATACTTATTCATTGTACCAGTATGAATGCTTCTCCCGTCCCCCGCAATTCATGAAATCTGCATGCATTAAATAACAACAATCTACCGGATTTAGAATTCAGCTATTAACAATTTTACTGCTAAATAGCTTTATGAATGCTACAGCAAATCATGTAACTCTTTAATAAATCAAACATTCTCACGCCAAAGTATCTTAGATATTACCAGCTGCGTCGTTGCTGCTGTAGCCTCAAAAATCTTGTTTAGTATAAATGTAAAAGAGGAAAATGAAGTATAGAAATATGTATAAAAAAGTATAGCAATATGTATAATGAAGTATAGAAATATATAAATACCTTTTTCATGTAATTCAGTATGAATTTTTATCGAAATTTGTTAAGAATGAAATTACTTTATTATTTGAGAAGGAAATAAAATAATTTCTATTGAGAGTTTTTATAATTTGTTATACGTATTCGTATAGTTACACGTATTCGTGTAGAGATTTGCAGAAGTCTTTTTTTTTTGGGGGGGGGGATGATTAACAAAATAAACAAATAAGATCTAGTTTGTCTTTAGAACTGTCACAAACTCGCATTTTTCTCATCATTACGGCCATCATTATTAAACATTACGGCCTTCTTCGTGGATGGATTTATGGTATGGTAGTTTGCACAACCAGGTAACAGTGGTTCGACTTTAAGTGAGAATTAAATAATTGAAGTTTCCTATTCCCTGATCCAAAAGATTTATAATCTCCACAGGAATATTACTTTGTAAAGAATATTATAAGTGTTGTTATTTTGTAAAGAAAAATGATGATGCATCTGAAATTCCCAAACTAGTTTTATGTAATAAAAAAGCTGATGTGTAGATGTAATAAGCTGATGTGTGTATGTAATAAAAAAGCTGATGTGTAAAGCTTGTACAGTATGAAATTATACGCATTTTTGCTGCAGTTCATTTGAACGTATTTCCTCGAATTTCATTAGAGATAAATTTCTCATTCAATTCATTCAGTTCCCAATTCGCGACAAGGCAAAAATACATAAAACTTCTTTATTAAAATTTTGTTTCTTAATTTTAGCCTCTTCTTATATATGTGTCTTTATATATATATATATATATATATATATATGTATGTATGTATGTATAAAGACAAGTATATATAAAGGCATAAGGTATTTAGAACTAATTTTTCGTAAAGACCAAACACTGAAATTCCTTTATAATTCGTTTGTGGAAAAAGAGCCCTTTATTCTGTCCTTACATGTAGATGTGACGAAAAAACATCATTAAATTGCATTCGATAGCGGTCAAAATGGCTATTTTCGTTGAAATATGATACTTGGAATTTTTTGTTATTACAATACTTGCTTTACTTTGTATAAGGAAGTAAAAATGCAGCAGCAGATGTATCAATCTTAACATATATGAATATCTGAATCGAAATAAAAACATCAACAGTAAATGAAAGTTTGAGCGATGTTAATTTCTGTCTTTATCTTATTTCGGCTTGAATGATATTTATTTTCCTAAAAACTGAAATTTACACAGAATCGTTGCCGAATATTTTACGATTGCTTTCGGTTTAGCTTTTATGGATGTCCAATGAGATTTAAGGAAATAAAATCTATACTCAAACATTGGCACTCAGTAGCGTGATTAACGATTTCGAGCGATAAAGTTCGAAGATAAAGAGAGCGTTGCTTGAATCATATAAATTACTCTTTAACCGAGTTACCATGACTTCTTTCCCCAAACGCTGCCGTTTCCCGGTAATTCTACTTCAATTTCAGTCGTCTATTTTCTGAACAATTTACGATAATAGCTGCTGATGACTGTTGATAAAAGAGCAGTGCTTTCCTCGATTACTCTTAATCAAGTCGCCCGTGAAGTATTTACCAGAATTTCTTACGAAACTTTAACTGAGCATTGATTAAATAAATAAAGGATTAAAACTTCTAAAACACTTGAAAATTGGATCGATGGTGCTTGAGATCGCATTGGCCACTCTCAGACGGGACTTAAAGATAATTTTCGACTTTAATACAACTAATAACGAACCGAGATCTCAAAACTATTTTAATTTAAGCTCTGGAAGGAGGATCTAAATGTGTGCTCTGTAATTAAATTAACAACTTGTCAAATACGAGAAGGGCGTTTTGTGGCTCTTTGACATAGTCTCGCTTTCATCCGCGCAGTTGATCAACTTCTCCGTTGTTCTCTTTCTTTTTTTTTTTTTTTTTTTTTTTTCATTAGTTTCCAGAATGCATCCGCAGTGAATGATTTTTATGTTATCGTTATTATGCCAATATTATTGAAATAATAAATTTATGCAGGAAATCGTGAACTAGATAATTTATTCCAATTATGTACCGCAAAAGAAGAATCTATAGCACATTCCTTTCTGCAATTAGTGTTAGAATTTGACTCTATATATATGAAAAACAGCCCATTAAATTGATGATTCCGTTCCGTTGTTTAATGGCAAAAATACCAAAGCAGGGTAGATGGAAAGTGTCAACAAATTCAGCCGATCCTGGGGAAAGAATAATCAACAATCAGATCAGACTCCTGATATTACTTTGTCAAGTTCAGTCGATATTCAGTTAATTTTTGAGGATTTCCGTTTGACAGCTTTATTTCATATTAAACTCAAAATTCCTACAGTGATTGAATATATTGTAAGCAAGCAAAATTCGATCTTGTGCTACCATTATTTTTGAAAAACTGTAATTATATTTTTTTCTGTTTGTATTCCGTGTTTGTTAATATAAATAATACAGTAGCGTATACATGTATGACTCAGCATTTCTGTTTACTTTAGGCGCTAAAATATACATGGTTGCCCAGTTCTTGGTCCATTACCTTTGTCGAGGGGTAGTTATTGACTTTTATTAGTTCAGAACAGTTCAATCCAGACAATCATATCCTGTCTACCTACATTTCTGCCTATTTATACATGAAGTGTGCTGTAATAAATTTTATGTTCTGTCCATGTGTGATGAGGTAGAAGTGGCGATCGTTAATAATTCTAGTTATTTAACCTTATGTTAGAATGAACTGGCTTTCTTATATGCCAATATATTCGAGCAAATGTCCAGCCATTAATCTTGGTTTGGTTTGGTTCGCTTTAGTTGATTATGGCAAAGGACAAAAGGGCAATTTGCCTGGGGGGGTAGGAATACCTTTCGTGGAGGACTTTTTGAGGGAAACTGGCTCGTATGCATGTCACACATGGGAAGAACCATGGAAAAGCCCATGCAGCCAGCCCGTTCGCTGGGATTCGAACCACGGACTGAACTACCAGTATTCAGCGACTTTACCGGTCGGCTGGCTGGTGGGCGTTTAACTATTGGATAAAAAGGAAGTTCTGGTTCAAGTTCAAGTCTGTCTTCAACACTATTTGGTTTTTAATTTTACTGTAATTGGTCATGTTTTTGATCATCTGTCAAAGAATAAGGCATTAACTGGGAAGCAAATTTTTTCTAGTTCAAGTTCGTTCTCTAAAATTTGATGGAATATCTCATGATAGTACCAAACTTATCTACCATCATCCTGACTGCGAAATAATGATCTCCTTTTAATTATTTTGTGACTTTTGTAATGCGTTCTTCGTAACAAACAGAAGCCGAGCTTCATCTTTCCATTTCAGGCGTCCAGTTTAATCGCCATTTTAGAAGAGTAGCTTCATGTTTCCATAGACTTGGCTTCATCTTCAACAACCGTATTGAAGACGTCAAAAATCGTGGCACCAATTTGGAATTATGCATACCAAGTGATTATCAATGCAAGTGTTAACGTGCGTACGGGATCGTATGTTGATAGCTTTATGAAATGTATTTTCTCAAAAGAAACACTCTGCAGTTCTGGAACTTTCCACAAAATAATCGTACAACTCTTCTCAGTATGACAGTTCAGTACTCCAGTAGTTTTAGTACAATCAGTAGTTACCGCTTCAAACTACTAAATGCTGAACTAAAAACGGAGAACTGACGTTCTGTCCGGTTTATAATTTTTCCCCGGCTGCCGAGAAGTTTCCAATACATGCAATTTCTCGAAATTACTAGAGAAGGACCATATACGATTACAGTTTGTTACAGTACCGGACACAGTCGTATAGGAATTAGACGAGTTACAGTTACACATGGATCAGTCCAAACTTTCGCCGTGTTTGTCGCCAAATTGGGACGATTTCTCGACAAATTTAGCGACAAAAATTATGTGGCTAGCTTGTCGCTCTCGCCATTTATCACAATGTTAAATGGAACTGCCCCTGTAATCTTATTTTCCCGGTAGAACTTGAGGCATTTCATGTTACCTTATACAAGAGCTACTACGATTTTTACATACAATTTGACGAAATAATTTACATGTATACAAAATTCGTAGCACGGGAATGAACAGTTATTTCCATTTTACGTTTTTTTTTTTTTTTTTTTTTTTTTTTTTTCCTCCGATGAATTTAATTTTCTCAATAGTTTTTTTATTTGGATTTTAAGGGGTGTAGGAACAAAACAAAACTTTCTCTCTTTGCTGGTGATGCAACACCTCTCCATTAAACAAAGTGATGCCATTTTTCTCATCAACCAAATGGGTGGCCATTTGGATGACAGGAGGCATGGCATTAATAAAATTATTCTCATTATTTAATTATTAGATTAGAGCGAATGATAATTTTAGTAATCTGAAAATTTTGTAGTTTGTTGAATTACGAGGCTAAGACTCAGTTATTTCCCTGAGGGAACAGAAACAAAAGCCTCCTATGTTTAGTCATTTCTTGTCTATAAACAGAATCCATATATCTGACACATTAGACAGATAAACCTTAGACAGGGATATACGAACATGGAAATAAGATAAAGATCGTTGTCGCCTTTTCAGTTAATTCTCTTTGTGCATTCATTATTGAAACGGTTGGAAATGAAAACATCGCCTGTCAGCGCTGCTTATGCGTGTGTAATGTATCGTGCTGTGATTCATTGCGTAATTCTGAAAGCAATTATGACCATAAAAGTGAACAGCTGCTGCTGTGTTCCCAAGCGAAAGTGTTTCAGTTTATGAGGAAAAAACTGTTTCCTGGAAAAGATTTAGCAAGTGTGTTGGAATCTCAGTTTTGAGTAAATCATTAGTTTTATACGGTTAATTTTATTGGAAGATGTAACTTAGTGTTTCCACTAATTTCATTTACTAAAGCACACATAAAAAAAAAAAAAAAAAAAAAAAAAAAAACTTTAATTGTCCTTCACTTTTCAGCGGTCTCGGTTTCTTGACATTTAGACGGTCTGCCCTCGAAATCGATTGAATTCTCGACTTAATTTATGGCAAACACCAAGTTTGTTGCTTTGCTAATTTTATATGTATATGGGCGTCTATTATCTGTAGAATTTATTGCTAGGATTTAATACTGATTATGATAACCGCAAATGGTGTTGTATCATTAGAGAAAAAATGTAACGAGTGCACAATTTTCAAGTCCGTATATAAGTATGACGACACTTTAAAGTGAAATGATGGATATATCATTTTATAAGTGTTGCTCTCTAGGCATTTATTCATATTTTTTTTTTACATTCTTCATTCACAAAATAGACTTAATGGCAAAAAGCGACCTGGTAAAAAATCAATCGGCTGAAGGCAGCATTTGTAAAATTAGTTTTCAGTGAGCCCTGACCACCCCAATTCTAGATGATTCTGGTCGTCTGCCGAAATTACTGTCTTAAAATGGGATGTACTGATATTTGGTTATGTTTTCATAAAAAATGGTCACTTTCATAGTTGGTCGCATTAGGAAGGTGGTTCACAGTACTTACAAATACCTTAAAAGTTTACTTAGTACTTACTGTAAGTTAAGTTTTAACTAATAAGCTATACAGATTGCCAATCGTGATATAAATCAGTCCTCTATACTGTGATTAGGTTGCTTATATGTTCCTTATCTGGTTTCGCCCAGGGGTGACTGGACTCGGAGTGCAATCGTGCCTCTTTCATAACAGAGGTGAAATCCTTTTGAAGTCCCTTTGTTAATTATTCCGGTTTCACCCTCCAAGTCCCAAATGTTTTCATGGAAAAGACTCTTTCACCAGGGTCGGAATGTGGACGCTTTTGGTTGCCTACCAGAGGAGGAATCGCCCCTCCCCCCCCTCCGGATTCAGTACAGTAATAGCGACACCGTGAAAGTTAGTCAAGATTTTGCAGCGAGAGGCGAAGGTGGTTTTCTGGAGAGAATCGACTGCTTGAACCTCCCTGCTGGGGCTATGGGCTAAACCCGCACGAACTATGTTTTCCGGGCGTGCATTTGATCTAGCACATTCCTGCTGTAACAATGGTTGAAACTGCTGGACTGAGAGTATCTCAGTTCTAGATCGTTACTAAAGTTATTTTTTAAAAAGGTATTTTTTTCCATTAAAATTCGTGTTGTTGTTCATAACTTGAGTTGAAAATTCATTTCAACCCTGTATTGCAACAGGGGTTTTGTGTAGCGGGTTCGGCCACTACACCACAATGCTAATTATCAAACATGACTGATGAATAATACGTCTGGCAATTTGTATTAGAAATTACTTAGAGTATAATTCATACAAAGAAACGAGTTACTCTTTGTGAATACGAAATTAGAGCTTATTACTTTATGTAAATAAATTATTGTGTATTAATTTATACCGAATACTAAATGTTGTAAAATTATACTAACGAAAGATAAATTCATTGTTTACTAGATTATGATTTTTATATCTTCGTATGGTAAAAGTTTACAATTGAGTGCCCCCCCCTTTTTTTTTTTTTTTTTTTTTTTTTTTTTTTACACCAAGATTGGCGCCAGGAAGGCACAATTTTAAGATGGTCGCCACTTGAAAACCAAAATAAGAAGTCATCAAAAAATTGCACAAACTCGATGTCTATATACACATCGATCTATTTTCACATAAAAAGCATCAGAGAATTGCACGAACTCGCGACATTGCGCACTGCCTTTGTAACCAGAAATGGGATTTTATCATCAAAATTGTACAAAATTTGTCGCCAATCGAAGGGGCACGCAACACTAGAGCCCTTCGTATTTAAAAGTGCAGTTAAATGTCATGTCAACCGTAATGGATCTTTATCAGCTGGAACGCTCTTCTGCGTAAAATTTAAGAGCTATAAATCTAAAATACACACTAGTCTCGGCTGTCATGAAAAAGCAACTAAATGTCTCCCAGAAATGTCGTCTTTCTGTTATTAACCTTTCGAAACATAATTTTTGAAGTGCTGTGTAAACTGCACTTCTTCTGGAAAAGCGTAATTAATTTCTTCTCTGTAAACTCATTAACGTGGAAAAATTTATTTTCTGTAAAAATTCTTTTGTAGCATTTAGGGGCTTCGCATTAAATGTCAAAGCTTTTAAAAATTGTGTGAAAAATAAAAAGACTATCTGTATTGGTATTTGAAGTTTGCGAAGCGTTATTGAGCGTTTTGTGTTTTTGCTAATTATTTAAAAGGCTCATTATGACATGCAATCTTTTCTGGAATGTAGCCTGCTTTCAAAATTCCTTGAAAAAATGTCATTTCTGCGACAAGTGATAATTGGCATTTAAAACATAATCTGATATTATTTGGAAGTTAATTTTTATGACTTAAATTACATATTTTTTAATTTCATAATAAATTTTAAAATCCTTAAATTTTATTATAATATTTTAAATCAAATAGTAAAATTCTAAAACTTATTAAAAATGAGTATTAAAGTTAAAAAAGTGGGGAAAATTAGTAATATTATCAGCCTAAAAGAGTATTAGCCCAGAAGGGCTATTAGTCTCGAAATGGCATTTTGCGTCAGTTCACTATAAATGCCCGTTTCACTTTTCAAATTGTTACCACCAAATACTATCGCCGTGTACTGTATTTAAAGATATAAAATAAAAGCGTCTGCGTAAATGTATGTATGTTTCTCACTTTGTTAAAAAAAAAAAAAAAAAAAAAACATACGTAGAGACTTTAAACTGTGAGTAACGTAGTCCTTCACCCGAATATGGGCACCTGGAAGCCCGAATTTGGAGTATGGAATTTGTTTTATTCTCTATTTCATATTTTGTTAAATTTTAACGAATGTTTGATTAACAAACTCAACGATTTCAAAGCGAGCAATGGCAAAGCTGTACGGAAAAAACATTTTTTATCTCCAGCGCTCGATAATGTGTATGGAAAATTCTAAAGATACGCTGTTTTAAAATATTTTTAGCCTAAAAGGGCATTAGCCGCAATGCTCGCGAAACGTATATGTGTGCTTAAAGGAAGAAAATGTCTCTTAGGGTGTAATATAAAATCTGCTTTCAGGTATTTTTTTTTATTACTACTATTATTATTAGTGTATCTCTGTTAACGAAACATTTTAACAGAATTAGTTGGTCAGTTGATGTACCTTACATATTAGAGCAACAAAAAGAATGTGAAAATATTTTTAGGTTAACCTTAATATTAAAGGAACTATTAACCTTCTGGTACTTCAGATGAATTCTGTTCTTCACACTTAACTGAAACTCCTAAAATACAGGAAAAAAGAAAGTATTTGTTTAAGGTTTCATCAGAAACTGTGCCTTATAGTACAATTCAACAAAGGCTAATCACCGCTATTTGTGAATCTTAGAAATTCAAATACAGGTCATAGAAATTCAATATGTGAGAAACAAAAGGTAACTTAAAATGCCTAACTAATCCGTCTTGAGCTATCGCGGCATTTAGCCGCACTTGATAATAAGTACGAACTCACTAACCAAAACCTCAGATAGGCACAGAGGTGGACGTCTTAGGAAATAAGCAGTTTTCTGATACGATTCCACAGCTCCTTTTTAAAATACAAATTTGCTTGCTATTTGTTGTCATCGTATTATAAAAAATACGATGGCTTTGTTGTACGCGAACAGGCATTCTCTAATTAACTTTCCGCAATTTCATGATCTTCGCCCCTAGACCAGTACTTTCGAGAACATTCTGGTATGTTACGTAATTACTACTATAAATGAGGAGTTTGCACCATATTTTTCATAAGATTGCTTTTCTCTCCCGGTCTCTCGTTTTGAGGGAGGGGGATGTAAAATATAAAAAATACGATGGCTTTGCTCTACACGAACAGGCAACCTCTAATTAACTTTCCGCACTTTCAGGAACTCCTCCCCCCCCTCTAGACCAGTACTTTCGAGAACATTCTGGCATGTTACGTAATCGCTACTATTAAATGAAGAGTTCGCGCCAGTTTTTTTCGTCAGATTGCTTTTATCCTCCTTCCGCTTAAGACCTTTTTGTTGCCGCTCTGTCTCTTCTTCTTTCCTTTGTTAGAATAGTTATGACGTCGCAAACTCAACTTTAACCTTATTTTAATTTAAATCATTATTGGATATGGAGTTTTGGAGAATCTAAAAGAATAATGATCTGCCATTTTAAGTGAATAAATATAGAGTTTTAAAAAATGAAATCTTTCGGTGTCATCATTTCTGCTGTAAGCCACTCGGGCATGTCCGGATTTTGATGACATTTATGTGCCCAACTGCCAAAATATTACATATATATATTACCTGTATCTGTGTTTGTATCTGTGATACGTTAACGCATTGGAAATATTTAGTCGTATGTAGTCATTACTATCAAAATAAAAAACTGATAGTATGCTTTTAAAAACGAATAATTTGTGAAAAATGAACTTCAAGAGCCTAATATAAAACTACAGAGTTGCATAGTAATAGATGCATTTCGTTTAAATTAGAAAGCACAGTGAAAACTTTTTATGACACAAATGTTGTTTGCAATCAGATCTAAAATAATATATTACCAAGTATCTAACATCCACGATTTGAAAATATTGTGACGAATTCCTTTTTAGTGGTCTTTCTATCCGAAAAGCAAATAACGAATCCATAAAGTTTGCATGGAAAGAGAAAAAGTCAAGAACTCATTTTTATTTCATTTGGGAAAGAAATAAGATATTCATTGATTTTTTACGAATGCAAAAATGGTAAAAAAATTATTTTCAAATTAGTATATTTTACTAATATGACAACAATGATGGCATGCGAAGCAAATTCTTTTTTAAGCTAAGAGTTTTGAAATACGCTTTTTTATCGTATGTTTTTTAACAATTTCTATACTATATGACTTTTATAGAATGTTTGTTACTGATTTTAAAACACGAATTGTTTCTATTTTTATTATGAAATATTTAAAGATTTTTTGTTTTTCAGATATTTGATGACTACTATCATCTGAGGCACCGAAGGATATCAAAACGATCTTTAAAGCCTAGCGAGGAACACCACATAGCCTTGTCAAATGAACCTCAGGTAATTATTTTTGTCATTTTTTTACTTGTGCGAAGTAAAGGAAGTATTGTAATCGCGAAAAATTCCGGTAGCATATTCCAACGAAAATGTCCATTTTGACCGCTATCGAATGCAATTTAATGATGTTTTTGCGTGACATCTGTACGTAAGGACAGAAAAAAGGATTTCCCCCCCAAAGGAATTGTAAAACTGATTCAGAAGAGATTTTTTTCCGTGGCGTCTGTACGTGCGTACATATGTATCTCGTATAACTCAAAAACGAGTAGCCTCAGAACGTTGAAATTTTGTATATAGGACTGCTATAAGACGCAGTTGTGCACCTTTCGTTTTGGTTGCAATCGGCCGCATCAAAAGTATATATATAAGATAAAAAATATGTGAATCAAAATTTTAATTTAAACTAACGGTAAACTCTTTTAATTCCTCTTCTCGGTTCTAAAAATCGTAATAACTTCTCTGGATTGCGTCATTTCTAGATCATTCCTTTTTGCATGGCCTGCACAACGCTGATGACGTAATAATTGGGAAATGAAACTCTTAACTCAAACCAAAACCTTTCTCTTTGTGTGTTTCCATCTTACATTACTATGCACTACCTTTTGCATTGGGTATCACTAGAGCCTACCGCACGACGTCTTCAGACGCGATCAACGTGCTGGCTGGCCTTCTTCCCCTACACATCCGTGTCGAAGAGGAGGCAGCAAGACAAATCGTCCTGCAGCTTAAAAGACCTGTCACCTTTGAGGAAGAATATTTTAATCCAGAGGACTATGAAGCTAAATGCTGCCCTCTGAAAATCCATCCAGCAGCCAAAGGCACTGGAATAAGCATAATTACCAATCCAACTACAGCCCACCGTCCAGCACAGATTACTATCTTCACTGACGGGTCGAAGATAGACGAAAACGTGGGAAGTGCCTATGTGGTCATGCTGCAAGATACAGTCATAGATCAATGGAAGGGTCAACTAAGGCAATTTAATAGCGTTTTTCAGGGAGAAGCAGTGGCAATTGCGCAAGCAATCCGCTACCTGCAATCCCACCACTCCCGCAACGCTACAATAAAGACAGACAGTCTTTCTTCGCTATACGCAATAGGAAACCCTGACCACCCCTCCGATATTATTCAGGGAATACAGGAAGATCTGCGAAAAAATTCCCAACTCCATACAAGACTTGAATGGATCAAAGCGCATGCCGGCCACCACGGCAATGAGTTGGCTGACCATCTAGCCAAAGAAGCTGCCACAGGAGCAACAAATCAACATCCCATGGCCAGTGTCTTACCTGAAAAGAACATTGCGCTTAAAGGCAATCGGGAAATGGCAGCAGACATGGGATAACAGCGATACCGACCGACGGACTTATTACCATGTCAGCTACGTGGACACTACCAAAAATTTTGCAAACATGCAATTGGTAAGATACATTACGGGTCATGGACCACTTCCCGAGTACTTTAACAAACGCGGGATAAGTAACACTAGCCAGTGCGCCTGTGGACAGACTGGCTCTCCGGAGCATTATCTAACCTCCTGTCCCCTTACAGAAGGGCTACACATCAACCTTCCGTCGACCAATCGACAAGCTTTCTGTAAGTTTTTGATAAAACAGAGGCACTTGGTTAGAAAAATAGGGCTTTTAATGGATAAACTGGCCGATCTTAACACAGACCTGTGCCATACTTAGCCATATAGACGAATAGTAATTCAGTGTCTAGCACCAACTACCAACACCACAAAATAACTGTGAATTATCGTAAGGAGTGTCCAACACTCCTAGTAATATAGCAAGAATAAACTATTTAATCAATTTGCATTATGCCAACCAAACGAATTATGTCTATTATCTGTACCGCAATATGTAAATAAGGACCATCTGTACCTGTTTATAAATGTATCTTAAGTACCATCACCATGTAGTTATGTTTTTTATGTATGTATATGTATAATGCACCCAATGCTTCTATACTCAATGTAATTATGCGCCTTGTATTTGTATATATATGTTCTAGTATAAATGTTACTGTATTGATCATTAACTGTATTAATCATTGCTGCATTATTGTATTAATATTATTTAGCATCATCAAATTAATAGCACCATTTGAACCTTATTACGTACTTTCAAGTCCACGAGACTAAGGCATTAAGATGTGAGCCCAATGATTACTATGTGCCTAATAATATGTATATATATCCTCGTATATATGATAATGTAACCATGCATCCGAATATAACATCACGCAACATGACACTTTACCGCATAGTGTTAATCTAAAGTCTTAATTCTAAAAAACCCCATTGCATTAACTAACTTCTATAGCAGTATTATATATATATATATTTGTTTATATATTATGTATCGTCTGTATATGTACCATGTATATAATGCTTATAAATCCAATGATTACTGCGTGCCTAATAATTGTGTATACGTGTTTTAGTATGTATATAACTGCATCCATGGCTCCGCGCATATCATCCTGTAGTATGGCACTGTACCACATAGCGTTAAAAACTAGGATCTTACACTAAAACTAACAGCACCAATGAATTGTTCCAGCATTGTACTAATCTTATGTATTATGTACGTATATGCATAGTGCATCTAATAATTATGTATCCTTATGTTAAGTATGCACCTAAAAATATTTGTATATTTTTTTATATATATAGTATTAACAAGTAGAAATATTACTGTATTCATGCGTCAGTATTTAACACTGTGTAACATGAAGCCGTTTCGCATAGTGTTAAACTAGAATTTTACTATAAAATTAACTGCATTTATTACTTTCCATAGCACTGTATTATGAACTATCTGTTTATATATGTATATGTATACCATGTACCTAATGTCTGAGAATCTAGTGATTATTATGTGCCTAAAAGTTGTGTATATGTATATTAGTATATATATTAGTTTATCCATCCAATCGCCTACAGCATCATGTAACATGTAAAAATAACAGCACCAATTACTTGCCCTAGCATTGTATTAAGAAACTAATATATGAATATGTATATGTAGTATGCGCCTATTGTATAAGTACCCAATGACAATTATGCACCCTATAATTGCGTATAAATGCATTATTTTTAAAATACTATAAAATTAATTGCATCAATTATCCTCAACAGCACTCTACAATGTACCATCTGCTCATGTATATAAATGTGCCATGTACCTATTGATTATGAAATCGAATGATATAAGCATTGTAAATAGGTATAGCATTGTAAATAGGAAAACAGTATAGCATTGTAAATAGGAAGCTGTACCCATGCACCCGCATGCATTTCTATGTAACGTGATACAGTAAGGCAAAATATCAACGTAGTGTCCTATTATGAAATTAAATAAGCACCTATTACTAGTTATAACATTATTTTATGGATCTAGAGTTTCAGTATATGAAGTAAGTACGAAATGTTTATGTCACCAATGACTATTGTGTACCAAAATATAAGCGTATATACGCTTTTGTCTATATGTAATTGTGTATGTCTTTGTTTATATGTAATTGTACCCATGTATCTACTAGTGTTATCACATATCTTGGCACTGTATAGTTAATATACATCTATTACGCACGGAATAATCATGTACCTAATGTGTCTGTATATATGTATATGAATTTATGTTCTGTATATATGATAATGTAACTATGCATCTGCACATTTTATCCTGTAACACGGCACCGTATCGCAAAGAACTAACTAGAGCCCCACTCTAAAATTAATTGCACCAAAGACACTGTACTACACAGTACTAATCTAGGGTCTAACTTTTAATTCACTGTACTAATTACTTATTCCAGCATAACATTGCGCACCTAATATTTCAGTATGTACATGTCTTCTGTAATCTAATGATAATGCTTCAAAGGGTCATAGTGTACTCAACATATGAGTACACACGTTATGTATATATGCTATCGTATCCATGCTTTTGCATACACGTTGTAACATGGCAATGTATTATCCAGTGTCTAACATTAATTATCTTTAACGCCACTGTATGAAGTACCAAATTTGTATGTATGTTTATATATTAGTATATTGGCACAATGAACATGTATGGTTATCTAGATAAAGGTGGACGTGGCGCTATACCGATTAACCGTATTGGTAGAGGGGTGGTGCCCACGTCCTCCGTCGCATGTCGCATTACTATGCACTTCGGCTTCGCTCTTTACCCTGCTAGGATGCAATTTCCTTGTCCTCGCTTCCTATTGCTATAATATCAAAAATGTAAATGTTCTTGAATAGACACGACTAGAGTACCAAGGGAATTGTGGCCACAAACGTCCAACTGAAAAATAAAAATGGAATTAAAACTGCCTCGACTGCCAAGTTTCTTAGATATTACCATCTCAACACATTAGCATACTACGTAATCAGAATGCTTCCTCTTCAGTATGGATCGACAATCTATCCTATCTGGGTATTATGCATCAACAGTGCTCTGCCTTTTCCTTGCTATTATTTCATATAAATATATATATATATACACACACACACCTACTCTGTTACTCGGCTCCTTGAGCTCATTTTTTTAAATTCTTATATGTAGGTAAATTGTGCATTTTTTGCTTTGAAAATAATTTAATTATGTTGTTCTTATATTGCAGTTAAAGTTTTTATGCCTTTAGTTAATCTGCAGCCAATATTTGTAGAGTTATCAACAATTTAAAAGCTGTTTAAATGCGGCTAAGCATATTTTTTTTTCCATAACATCCATACATTTGAAATTTAGAAGAATAGTGAATTAATTCATTCTGCACCTTCAGTGTCTTTTTGCCGGGTGGGACCAAAAGGAAACTTTTTATTAAAATCAAAAGCGTTATTGTGATCGAAAATTATGAAAAATAAGTTAAAATTCAGAATATGTTGGAAACTAGAAAGAAAAAGTTAATTTAAAAAAAAAAAAAAAAATTACATCTAAAACTGAATAAAGATCATCTGCATCCTGGGAAAGTATAATTGATAAGTTAAA